CTTCAATATATTATATTCACTTTTCTGATTTTCAAATGGGTATTTGCAAAAGTAACCACATCCCTCCTTTATGTGCTGTCTCATCAAGAATGTAATTGTGCAACAGCTTTAGAATGAGGATGATCCTGGGGGGACTGAACCAGAGATCCTTCGTTTCTTCTTTTTTCTCTTCATTGCTTTTCTCCTTGTGTAGCTGAGTTTTGGGAGTTTTCCTGTTTTCTGTATCTCTGTTTGTTTAGGTCACATCTGGACTGCAGCTTTAAGCCTATGAAGTTTTGTTTTGTTTTGTTTTGTTTTGTTTTGTTTTGTTTTGCTTTGGGTAGGATTTGAAAAATGGAAGAAGAGAAATTATAACAAGAAATGCTTTTAAAAGTTTGGATCACTTTGTTGTTGTGCATCACCATAGTCATTTGTGCTTGGTGGGAAGCAGCCCTGATGCTTCCTACATCATACTCCTCCTACTTTCTGATCATTCATCTAGCACATTTGGTCACTCTGTTGGAGGTCCTATCTGAAAGCTAAATTTACAAGAAAACTTTCAGATTCCCATTTCTGAAGCTCCTTGAAATGAGATGGGAAAATTACAGTAACATGGAGTAATCTTAATAGCAGATGAGTTTGGTTTCATGGATTTGGTCTCTAGTAAGTCTTATAATTGTTAAATTCAACTAGCTTCTTTCATTTTATGACATCCACTAAAGGAAAAACCCCTATTAGATAAATAAAGAATAGAGTGCATCCCCAGATATCATACTAAAATAACTTGACGCTGCTTCAAAAGACTTCAGTACTTGGAAGCAACACTTACAAATATTAAAAATTGCTCTGAGGTCACTAGTGCATTTTTCCCCCAGCACTTCTATTTGCTTCAGTAGGGGGCCAACAATTTTGGAATCTGAGTTGCATTCTAATACTGATTAGGGAACTCTTAAGAAAATAAGCTTTACCTTATCCTATTACTTTAGAACTTCCATAAAACATTTCCCCCAAGGAAAAAAAATGTATATATTAAAAAAAGAAAAATCATTTAACATAAATTTCAGGATAGCATAGCATATTTTAATCACAGATAAGGCATAAGTAAAAGTGGATAAAATATCTGAAGGAAGAAATATGTGCTTCAATTTATAACTTAAAATTAAAGTTGCTGAGAAGGACTGCTAGATTTATCTCTCTATTGTTTCCTTTTGAATCTGCATTCCTGTGCTAGGAATTAGGCCTAAGAGAGAGGAAGGCTATACTTTTAGCCTAGCCGGGGGCCAAGTACCAATCAGTCCATCTGAACATTCCTCTTCTGTTAAAGGCAAACCTTACTCTAATAGAAAATCGCAGCTATGTCCCAGGACAATGCTACTTCAAAGGTCAGCATGTCATTCATGTTTACATTTCAGGGACATAGTAAAACTGACATTTGAAACCACTAGACACAATGTTTCTTTGGGATTATTTTTACATGTAACCAAGACTGGCTGCAAGGAGTTGTGCAGTCAGAAATGACACGGGGACACAACACAGAGAGGTTACAAAGGAAAGGAAAAGTAAGGCAATTTATGCAAAGAAAAAATGTTTCTAAAATGCACAGAGAAAATTAGTTTGCTATTCCGTTCTCAATATATGGTAGCTTGATTCAAGGGGGAAATATAGATTTTGAGGAATGTCAGCATGAAGATAAACATCACACCAGTAGGTCAAGAGGTTGGGGAAGAGGATATGTTCGCCACATTTTCTGGCTTTCTGCCCTATCTATGAAGCTGAACACAGTTGTACAACAAGTTATATGTGGTTATGATAATCACATTTAGAGACATATTGGCTATTTTGTTATAGAAAAAAAAAAAGAAAAAAAAAAATGTACAGCTGTATCTCTCCAAGAGGAAATGCAGATTTGTTTCTAAGCAAGCTGACACAGCATAATGGCAATCTGGGCTGTCCCTTACTCAGCTGTACAAAGATCTTTCTTCCATTGCATTCTATTTGTGTTAATGTGGGATGAACATCGCAGTTGCCTAGTTTATGTTGACTGCTTTGAAGAAAAGCATGGATAGTGTGATTTTTTATTTTTTTATTTTTAATGATTCTTTTACCAATACAGTGTTGTAGGGTTTTTTTGTTTGTTTGTTTGGTTTTGTTCGTTTAGTAACACTTCTTAATTTTACTTGCTTCCTAATGCAATTAAAAAATAGAGAAGCTTCCACGATTCTCAGATAAGAGTTAATTTTTTCTGCACATTTCTATATGCTCTGTCGCACCATATACAATATATATAAATACATCTGTTTTCTCAATGCTACCAAATGTAAAGAGGGTTCAAACTGAAATACTGATCCATCTTAGCCAAGATCCCCATACTTTGATGTAAATCTATGTAGGTTGTTCTAAAATAGGATTTATCTTTATCTATTGCTTTGAGTTCCTTTTTCTACTCTTTAGTCTGAAACACTCTTGCATAAGGTATTAAGTATAATTTTCTGTGGACTTAAGAATTATTTCTACCTCTTATAATGAAAGTTATTGAGAATGGATTTATTAGGAAACTTATGATTGCTTCTGCTATCTATTTTTAAAAATTGTAAAGACATAAAATCTTCCCTTTCTACCACCTCTTCTGTCCATTCTCTTGCAAAGATTTATCTTTCTTTTTTTTTTCAGTTGACAATCAAAACTTCCTATAATTATGTGCAGTGACCATAAATCTTTTATTGGAAATGCCTGTATCATGTTCCAGCAGATATGCTGAGTAATAGTTTAGGAAATTTGGACCAAAAATGAGCATACATTATCAGCTACGTTGTCAGTGATTCACAGAAAGTCATTGATTTATCCCATTACCATTCTTGTCCTCTAAATAGGAGTGGGTATTAAGCAGTCTTAGCTTTTTCATAAAATTTATCTTCCTAGTTGGAACAACATGAAGGGAAGCTGAAAGTGGTCTGGAGGGGGAAGGAAAAAAAAAAAAAAAAAAAAAAAAAAAAAAAAAAAAAAAAAAAAAAAAGAGGAAAAAGAGATGAAGATTGATTCCTCCTCCCTTTAGTGAGTGTTCTCAATTAGGTAAACTGATTTGCAGTGAGGTCATCAGTCACAACTGGAAGGTAATTTGAAAATGAATTAGCTTAGAAGTAACAATTTCTGCTCCATGGACTCCAGTAGCAAACAATTCAATTTTGTAACAGAGCTCATAAACTGAGATCGATGCTGACCTCACGTGCCATTAGGCAGTGGGCATGCTCCTGTGGCAGCTGTGGCTGCAAGTTTCCCTGCTGGGTTTCCTCTGCTCCATGCTCACTTTTAGCAGGTGTTGCTAGTTGATTATTTTGCCTCCAGGAATAAACAATTCAAGGGAATTTGAATGGGTGAAACTGTTCACTTCTCTTGAGAAGGAGTTTCTCAAGATAAAATCAGTGGCAGGAAGAGTGAAGGGTTACTTAAAAAGCCTCTGTAGCAGCAGAAAAATGACAAATCTGCTCTGTGAATACAGAAGTCTTTAGCAGCATAGCATAGATTAACACAGGAGCTCTTGCCATTCACTGATTCTGGTCAAGTTTGTGGACCCTGTGTGCACATAGTAGGAGGAAAACCTTTTTTCCTACACTGTCTCCAGGTTTCATTTTTTTCCCCACAGAAACCTTGACATCACTCCAGCACCTCTTCTGATCCACTTTCTTTCTTGAAATTTAAGATTACAGCCCATCTAGACATGTTGGGTCCCCATTTGCTTTCAAGCCCTGTAGGTTAAGAACCAGCTGGGCCCCAAGGCTAGTCTGCTGCGGGTCCTTTCAGCAGGCCCAGTGATGGGGACAGGTGACAGAGTCTGAAATCTGCAACATCAGGTTGTTGGCCAAGCAGCTAATGGGTGGCTGCCACCTGATTCAAGATGCTCAGACATTTACCACCAATTCAGGTTGGATATTAGGAAAAATTTCTTCTCAGAAAGAGTGGTGATGTACTGGGAGTCACTGTCCCTGGTGGTGTTCAAGAAATGTGTAGATTTGGCATTGATGAATATAGTTAGTGAGCATGCTGGTGATGAGTTAACGATTGGACTAGATGGTCTTAATGATCTTTTTCAACCTTAAAGATTCTATGATTCTATAATCGCTTTCAATAAATGCAGTGTTAGTTGGCATAGAAGCTTAGATGTGAGACTGAATGTATTTCTTGCCACCAGTGAAGTGAAACAGCAACTTGTGGTCTAGATCAACTCATGTGCATGGTTCAGATAAGTGTTGTTTTGTCATGATAAGGCTGCAGTAATATGGTTTTCTTGCAGCAAGAGTTAAGACTTGATATCATTTTCTACTCTAGGTTTGAGCAAAAGCTTTGGGCTAATATATTAGAATTTCATATTAGTTGTTCATTTGGGTAACAGGGGTATTTGGATACGCCTATAGTATTTCATTTAAATAAATTCTGATTTTTGCAAGTTTTGTTTTTATTTAGATGCCGAAAATAAACTTTCAAAATGGAAATTGATTGTAATATGAAAATGTCAACAATTTGAAAGCATAACATGGAAGTCCAAAAAAGCTGTTTTTTTGTCTTTGTTTTTTCCTGACAAGGACTTTTAACAAGCAGATATTTCTAAACTGTAAAGATAAATCATGATAATCACCTATTTTTACCAATCTGCAATAACAATTTAAATTTAAAACCAAAATTTGACTGAAAATTGAAGAAGATAAGTAACTAGATTTCATGCTCTATGCATAGGGCATATGCAGTTCATGGTTATATTTTGCTATGAAACAGTCCAAAAAAAAAAAAAAAAAAAAAAAAAAAGCCAATAGAAAGTATTGAGACTATTGAGGAAAATTATTTTTAGATGAAGTGTTGGTTAAACTCTCCAAATTCACCCATTCTATAGCTCCCCCAGTGACATGGATGGTGTGATGATAAAGCGAATTCTTCTAAACCTAAAAATAAACCTTTGTATTATCTCTGTTATTTCCTGATTCAGTTTTTCAGTGTGCCTGATTTTTATTTTTTTTTTTTTTTCATTCAAGGAATGAAAGAAATGTACTCCAAAGACTTCCTGGCAAATTAAGTGGAAGGAACTTCTTGTGCCTTTTTGATACAAAACGTTTTAGCAGATGAGAAACACTGTGTTCTTTTGTGAAGTCACACATCCTTGAGTACTGTGCTGACATCTTGCAAAATGAAGCCATCAGCAATGTTTGAGTGTGAGCATCCATGTCCCAGCTGAGGCTTTATTATACTCTACAGCCAGGCAGGCATTGTATCCATGGCCTTTCTCATGCTTCCCTCTAGGCAAGGAGGCTTTGGCATATTTGATCTATAACTAACCACGACTCACAAAGCCTTTAACTTATCAAGACTGCTGTCATATGTACTGGAGACAGATCCTCAAATCAGAATGTAGAATTAAATCCATGTGCTCCCCAAGCCCTTTTGTAAAGCAGAAGTGGAGTTACCCAGTTTGTGTAAGCTGACTTAACTCCATTGAGGTATATAAAACTACTCTGATTTATAGCACCTAAATATGGTCTGTGGTGTTTCCATTTCACTTCTGGTCTTGTGGATGTATAGGAGATAGGAAAGAAAAGAAAAAAAACAAGCCTAGGATCTGACCAACTCCAAGTGTACTAGATATGGTACATGACATGAAGGAATTCAAGCCAGTCTGAGTGTCTCCTTTCTCAAATGTTCTTGAAGAATTATGTCCATGTCATTCTGTAAATCAGATTGACACCTTTGCCATTTTAACTGCAAATGAGTATCAACTGATGTCAGGAGGATGGGTCATTTAATTAAGCTTCTCCTTGCTTGAGAAAAGAGATCAAGATTTATCATCTGAGATACTATGGAAGGAATGAGAACACATCACTTGTCATTCCTGGATCTGCTTTGCAGTACACTCCCACTAGTGAACTTTCCTGAAGATGTAATTCTGCTTCCTGATATATTCTATAGTCTGAGACTTTACGTTGCTCTGGGGCTTTTATGCTTTTCATTTGTTGTGCCTTGTCACGTCAAACAGGGAATCATAAAATCCTTAGAGTTGGAAGGAACTTTTAAAGGTCATTTGGTCCAACTCTCCTGCAACAGGACATCCACAACTAGATCGAGTTGCTCAGAGCCCCATCCATCTTAGACTTGAAAGTCTCCAGGGATGGGACATCAACCGCATCTCTGGGCAACCTGTTCCAGTGCTTCAACGCCCTCACTGTAAAATATTTTTTTCTTCATCTCAAAACTAAATCTACACACTTTAAGCTTGAAAATATTTCCCCTTGTCCTAACACCACTGACACTGCTAAGGAGTCTGTCCCCTTCTTTTCTGTAGCTCCTCTTGTGATACTGAAAGGTTGCTATCAGGTCATGTCATACTTCTCTTCTCCAGGGTGAACAGCTCCAGCTCTCTCAGCCTGTCCTCATAGGAGAGATGCTTCATTTCTTGGATCATCTTGGATCATCTTAGCCTTCTCTGGACTCACTCCAACAGGTCCATGTCTCTCCTGTACTGAGGGCTCCTCATCTGGATGCAGTACTCCAGGTGAGGCCTCACCAGAGCAGAGTAGAGGGGTAGGATCACCTCCCTCACCCTGCTGACCACACTTCTTTTGATGCAGCCCAGGAAATGGTTGTTCTTTTGGGCTGTGAGGATGCACTTCTGGCTTATATCCAGCTTCCCATCCACCAGTACTTTTGGCAGGACTGTGCTCAGTCCCTTATCCTCGAGTTTGTTATTGGTAGCAGAATTTGCCTCAACCCCTGTGCAGGACTTTGCACTTGGATTTATTGATCCTTATGATCAATATCCTTCTGGACCCACTTCTTAAGCCTGCCTGTGTTTCTCTGGATGGCATTCCATCCCTTGGGTGTATCAGATGCACTTCACAGCTTGGTGTCATCCACAAACTTGCTGAGGGTGCACTCAATCCCACTGTCAGTGTTGTTGATAAGGATATTAAAGAGTATCAGTCCCAGCATTGATCCCTGAGGGATGCCATTCATCTCTTATCTCTGTCCAGACATGGATCGATTGATCAGCATCAAGACTGTGTGCATACAATTGTTTCAGCTTCATAAGCACATGGAAATATTTACAGTGAAATACAATTGCAGATAGCTAGAGAATCCCCAAGTTTTTTTCATATGTTCTTCTTTCTCTGTGAGCATATATATTTGTTTGCTTTGTATTTAAGCCTTTGTATATGCGTTTTTCTGAGAGCTGCTTTAGAGAACATTTTAAATCCACTATGCATATTATGAACCATAACTTATTTCCCTGTATTTAGTCTTATATTCTCAACTAAATCTACAGCTATTTAAGACATCTGGGACGTAAATAGTGTCTTTATTCATGTCAAAATTATCAGTGAAGAAAGCGTCCCTAACGCTGAAAGCAAACAGTTGGTAAGAATGACTCAGAGATCTGGATACTGTTGGATCTCAGGTGTTCATGAGAAATGTGTATTGGTTATTAAATGTCTTTAAACCAGTTACAGATCTCCTCTGTCCTGGTCTCCTTGGGTAACTGCACTCACTCTGTAAATAGTGACTCACCATTATTAATTCTCTTACTGGCAGATAGGATTGCCACTAGACTATGTGTGATGAGAAAGCAAGATACCAAATAATCACCCACTGATTCATAAGGGATTTCCAGGAATCTAGAACAGTCTCCTCCTCCCAGTAGGCTTAACCACGAATCAGTCAAAAGATTTATATATTAGCATCTGAGTAACTCAATGTCAGTATATATCTACTAATTAAGTCTGCATCCTATCATGTATACAATGAATAGATTTACCACTCCAAGAATTCAGTCTAAGCGCACTTAATACAGCCTGATGAACTTCAAATTGTTTATACAGTGGCACTGACATGAACAAATTCTGGAATCCCAATTAACTCTTCTGTTAACTTAGAAGATGCATTTAATATTTAATATCTTTCTGTCCAGATCATATTTTTTTTCATTCAATCAAATGGACAAAAGATCCCTTTCTTCTCAATGCCTGATGTAACTATATAGACTTACGTAAATAGTTAACACAAGTCTATGGGACTGGAGTACAAAAGTGATCATGTTTTTTGTTTGAAGGAAAAGATGCAATAACTAGCAAAGGCAGAATTCATATTGTACAGTCCAATGGATTTGTTCACAGCCATATGCCAACAAGGCTTAATGTGTAACCTTTCCTGTTAATTCTTGATCTGCTCAAGTCCTCTGCTGACAAATTGCAAGACAGGCAAGTTTTACAAAGCAAGACCAGTCCATAATGGTGTCTTGCGGACTACCTTCAGGCTCCCTCTTCTGGATATTTATGCATTCATGAGCTTAAGAACCTGCTGTGTTTTATGCATATGTACTGCTGTAGGTTGTTTGGGCCTTTACAGCATATGCTTTCCTTGTGTGCCCTGCATGCTACATTGTGATATATGCAATTGCACAGGTCCTTTTAAAGGTAGATTTGGTATTTTTAATAAGACCTTTGAATTCAAACCTTCAGGTGATTTTTCATGTTATTGGCTGTTTCTTCATTATTTTGGGTCCCACGTTTTAAAAATTATGACTGCTATGCACTTACAATTCAATATGCCATTTAATGGTGTAGGGTGGGGTTTTTGGCCTTGTTCTATTAAACACACTCTAGAATATTGCTTTGTCTCCCTATACACAGGTGTTATGAGGGTTATTTATATTTTAAAGGCTATAGTATGGTCCCTGTAATTTCATATTCTCCTCCCCTTCAAAATGAAAAAAAAAAAAAAAAAAAAGACATTTTTATTAATCATGAATGGTTTAAATTTGTCTCTTTAATGCATCTCCCAGGAACTTGAAACACCTGCTGTGTTAGCCCATGCCTTAGAAGAATTGAGAGGTTATATATTAGGTTGAAGCTTATGGATTAAAATAAAGCTTTTCTTTATAGGACTTCCACCTGGGAATGACTGCTCTACAATTCTATAAAAACAATAAGAAAATTTGTTTCCAGCCCCAATGTCTTTAGAACATAAAAAAAATTAACACAGAAATATAACTTGAACAAAGTTGACAAAAAAGAGTATGCCATGGGAGAATCACAAATTCTGCCCTGCTAACATGCTGAGACCTGCTGTTTTCCCTGTGGGTATCCACATGGCTTTGATTTTCTCCTGGTTATAAAAAAAAACATAAACATTGGCAAATGCACTGAAGAAGGAGGACTGACTCCACTGTGTGAACTAGCACTTGATGCTGTCTGCCTTGGTAGAGTCTCAATTTGACTCTAAAGATGATTTCATTTGGTTTTAATTTGAGAATGTTTTATATTTGACTAAAATAAAAATGAAATTCTCTTTGTTCAGATGAGTAAATTGTGACAGTTTAATTCTATATAGATTTGCTGACAGTTAACCTTAGCTCCCTCGTTGTTTTTGTTTGTTTTTTTTTGTTTTCTTTTCCTTAATATTTAAAGGAATATACATATCTCTGTTGAGTATAAAGAAAGAGAAAGAAAATTGAGAAAATCTACATAGCACGATAAATCAGCATTTAGTAATTTTCTCTGTAGCTTGTGTACAATGGAAGAATGAAATTTAAGGTCATATTCAGTCCTGCAGGCAGCTAGTTGCACGAGATGAGGTGACAGATTTAGTCAGAGAAAACTTTGGCCTCCTGGTATTGTGGCTGCAGTTGCTATTTGGCTAAGCTGTGGTGTTGGCAGTGAGAACAGATTTATGCACATAAAGCTGCCATTCTATTAGGGTTTTTTATAACACAAAATGCACTTCTCAAGTTGTACCTTCGTCTGAAAAGAGCTGAAAGAAAGAAGCAATTGAGTATCAAGAGAATGGTACCAGATGCTGGCCTTTTGACACCAACCAGTGGGCCACGGCTGAGCACTTCCTCAGCATACCGTGCTTTCAGCCACTTCTGCTACCTTAAGAAACCTTCATAATAAAAAGTACTATCAAAACCAAAGAGTTATACGAGCTCTGTGTGAAAAATAAACAAATAAGCAGGAAGGTGATAAAACATAGCACGTGCTTCTGCATTTAATTCACAAGCTTGATATAGGTTTTTGAAGGACTGTTTCTTACCTTTCTAACATCAGTAAAATCAGTAATTATACATGGTAGGACAGTGGAGAGACTGTAAAGAATACTCTCCATGTGAAGCACTTAAATTGGGGTTCTGGACATCTATCTTCACGTCCCTGCCTCCACTGGTCTTTCTCTGTGTATACAGAAACAAATACATACATTAAGCTGCTTGTTTCAGTTCACATTCCATAAAATGGGAATTACAAGTTTTATCTTCTTCTGATGTTTTATCTCTACTTTTTTTGGAGGGATTTTAGGATCTTTGGGGCTGAGTGTGTTTTTTACAGCTTCAGATTC